AAATAATAAAATATTCTCCATCGACCATCACATCATAGATTCTTATAATACTATAATGGTAAAAAAATAATATGTATTATTATTATTTTCAGAAGACAAATCATACATTACGGGACCAAGAAACGACGACGTTCCAACGCCACGCACGCTCGAGGCCGTTTAAATCGTATTATAATTAATATTGTTGTTTTTTTTTTCTATTCTATTTTTGTTTTGCGTTTTATGTAAATTACATTTTTAGAGAGAAAAAACATAAAGTAAACGAGTACTATCGATGTAGATACGAGAAAAAATGTTATGTAGTTCCTTAGTTTCGTTATTTACATTATGATATTGTTTTTGTCAATTAAATAAATTAAATTGTTTTCTCGTGTTATTTAGCCATAATGTATATTATTATTATCATATGTATATTGTTTTATATAAAAGTGTATGCGTGCAGATTGAATGGATAAAACAATATTCGTATCAGAATGAAAAAGCAATTTTAGGACAATCTTATAATACTACTACTATTACAAATTTTTTTGTTTTTTTTTTTATCTTTGAATCACCAGGCCGAAATAAATTCTTTAATAAACCATGAAATCATACAATAATTACAAGACTTGCGTCTAAACTTCGTCAATACCGATTCATGACTTACGTCTAAGTAACCATGATAACTAAAACAAATATATAGGCTTCATCTAAATGATCGAACTATCGTAATAGCGATCGCTTACAGTTTTTTTTTAACAAAAATAACAACGTTACCTATGCATTGTACCAGGAAACTATTGTTCACTTCTCAGACCAGTGTTCACAGTGGCATACGCTGGAGCAGGATTCTAGAGCTCTAACCCCCCCGCCCCTGAAATGTCTTACTTTTGCAAACAAATCTTACTTACCACAATGTCAATAAGTCAATACACAAAGACTGACAGAGTCGATAAATTGTTGGTCATTTTTAATATATATAAAGTAAACTGTGAAATATGACAATGACGTCGATAATCATAGTTTCAATTTTTTGACTGATTTAGAAGATTGCTCAACATTGTCTTCCATAATCGTCGTAGGGTATATCATCATGTATCATCGTCCATCAATTAATACCATTTTTATTAAGACCCCAAAAGGCTCTATAGACGACCAGGTGTCCAGGTTAAACACTCTAGTATTCTAAATGTAGACTAAATTAGAGACTAACTATAATTTGTTATAACCAATTATATAAAAACAACTTAGAAAAAAATGATGTAAATTAGGTAAGACCCTAACCGAACTAATATCCTGTGTCGCTACTGGGCTGCACAACCTATTGTCTAAGTTGTCTCATACTAAGGACGATGATAATGCCTCTATCACTCCTCTTCCTTCTTATAGCCTTCATGATATATGATGTGTACCATTCTGGTATTCTACTATATCCCATTTTGCGTTTTGCATTATGTCATTATGATGGTGATAATTGTATCAAGCGGGACATCCTCGCCTACTGTTGCCCTCACTGGCCTCAAAGACATTAAGTCCCTTTCCCACATCTGAAAAACATGTTTTCGTCGATACGTGGTACACATACTAGGTATAGGCTAACCAATCACGCTAATCTATACAGGTAAGCCTCGAATTAATATTTTTATTTTTTCTACTAAATGATAAAAATTATTTTTAATAAACTAGGTGTACAAATTGTAATGCTCAGTTTAATAAATTTAAACTTAAAATATTTACGGTTTCTTAGCAATATAGATTATTAATTAATATATATCGAAAGTCTTAAGTGTACTATCGATTATTATATCGATTTCCGTAATGTTCAAATATATCATTTTTTTAAGACATACCTACAATATTTCCCAGACAGATTAATTTGTTGAATGCAATAATTTTGTCAATTACTGATTAGGTATCAGTTGAAGATTACACCATCATCACCAGACGACACCAGTTAAACATAATCAGTTTTGTTTGGGATGGATTTAAGTTTGGATTTGATTAGGTTGAATTTTTCATCACTCACCTTCATATTTAAAAATTGTTGGATGTAATAAAACCAATGCAGTTAGATACGGCAATGTAAATTAGATCTTCCAAAATGAAAACCAAAATAATTTGGACAACCAAAAAAAAAAAAAATTAAAGGAAAAAGTATTAGCAAATAAATTTAAACATCAGAAACTAACCTAAGATACAACATTTTGTTTTAGGCTTATTCAATATTATCAAAGTAAGGCTTTAGCCCCCCCCCCAAATCCAAACACTATTTGCGCTTATGTATACAGTTAGTAATTAGTATACATATATCAATATGTCATAGTCACAGTGGCGTAGCTAGGATTTTCTGAAGGGGGGTGTTAATTATAAACATTAAATATTATATATGATACGTACAAACTAAAACTTTTATTTTAATTAATTAATTATCTATACATAATGTCTGTATGGTATTATCAATAGATAATAATGAAAAAAAAATAATATATTATAAAATAAAATCCGTTCGTCGTTTTTGATTGAACGACAATTTTTGTATTACTTCTTCTACTATCTTCCGTGCTATACGTCCACTTTACGTTACGCGACCTGTTAAGTGGTCGCCACGGAAGCGCGGTTATCACATAGCAGTACCCGTCGCGCGTCGTCGAAAGCGTATATTATCGCGATACCGCAATCGCGATATTGTTAACCTGTATACCTATATATTATGTAATTAGTATTGTGCATTATTTTATATTTCATATTGTATTTACGATTTAGTATTTACCTATGTTCCTATTTTATTATGTATAATAATGTATATTGTAATATATATGTAATAATAATGTAATATATGATACGGCTCAAGGGGGGTGTCATATCCACCAAACACCCCCCTTGTATACGCCACTGCGATAGTCAATAGTAATTATATGATCTAAGATTATCAGGTAGGCAATTTACCTGTAGTAGATCGTGGACCCCGAGTGGTGCGATGGAGGACGTTTCCACAAATTTCATATATATTAATATGTATAGGTATATATAGGTATTAGGTACATGATTCCGAGTGGTTTTAAATACAACGTTGCCATTCCAAAAACAAAATATATTATATTAATGTAACATAGGTAATGTAATATACTAATATACATAGGTATTACAAATCGTTTTGTGCTTCAAACAATTCTGCGCAGTGGCGGATCCAGGGCTTAATTTTGGGAGGGGGCAAAAGTACAAAAAGTTTCAAAATTGGCTAAACATAGTGTAAAACAAAGAAAAACTACGGCGATTGGGGGGTGCCCCTTTTGCCCTTCCACTGGATCCGCCACTGATTCTGTGCTTTTGAAAATAAAACTTTCGACTTATGGCTAATTATTTCTTTGAGATACCTATACATATTTTATAAAAGAAATTTCATAAGCATTAATTTGATACAAAAACTCATTTTTTTCGTATTACATCAACATTATCAAATACCAATTGTCAAAAGCCCATTAAATTAATTTGCCAAATAAAGTATACGATAAATGGCAATTACGTAACACAATATAGGTATACCTATAGCTGCAAATATTATATAGCCATATAGGTATATAATATTCTACATTTCTACTGCACTGAGATAAAATTATTTTCGTTCCAATACTTTCCCAAACCCTAACATTTACAGGTGAAATGAATTTAGGCAGTGATATATACTTCCATATTAACTACATTGAGTTCTTTTTTAAAAATTATCGGTTCACGATTCTACATATTATATACTATATAGTTAATTAGTTCAGAGCGATGAAAAGAATTAGCATTAGTTGATTTATATAAGTACAGATTTGTTGGGTATCGTAAAAAAGACGGTGTTTTGAAATGGAGGTGTTCAAGTAATAAAAATTGTATGGCGCTCATTTTTTCTGGACCAGAAAAAACTCTTTTTTGCGACTTCTTCGGCAACCATAGTCATGCTGCACTGCTGCGATTCCTCAGACAAAATTAGATAGTCAAGTTTTAAGAGAAAATTGCAAAACCACAGGCTGAAGAGTCCATTAAAGGGTACATTTTTATATGTTATATACCTACTATAGATAATAAACTAACTTAAATTATTGTAATTATGGCCATGTGGAGGGTACTGTAGTCTTTGTCATGATCTCCCTTATCCGTGGCCGTACTTGTGATGTTTGTTTGATGTTACTATGTAAGGGGAGGCTTGGAAGTCCTCCCTAAGCTCATACAAAGTGTGTTGCGTTGATACTGTGCTGTGATTGGTTGTCATATGCTACAGGTTGTTGGCTCTATTGAGGATTGTCCCGTTACAATTCCCCCCCTCCAGTTAGTACCCGGGTGAGTTTTGTCTCTGCAACGACTGGAGCATTAACTTGTCATGGACCATGATGGTAGTATGACTGTATGAGTCTGGTACGGTTTATCGATGCCCTATACAATGCTTGTCTAATGGCGTTATGTGAGAGATACCACAATGGTGTGTTCTCATCGATCACCTTGCAGGGGTGTTTTGGTTTTTCGTATTTCCCTAAATTGTGTAGGTATAACATATTTTACCACTTTGGACAAGTTTACCCTTTGCTGATCAAATGGTATATTGGTATATGTATCGGTGTACTGTTTTTAACTGACCATCCTCCAGTCTGTCAGTGTGTTCCAATCTTTGTTAGTTTATTGTCTGCTTCAATGACTTAATTTACCCATTTAGAAATGTATTGATAAATGTTTTTCTTCATCTTGTACTTGTAGGTATTCGGTCTTTTGCTGTTTTTACTGTCACGACAGGTGGTGCTCCTACGTGACTTCCCTTGTGGTTCATGAATATTTTTTATTTTTTTTTTCAGCTACCTACTTCTTTTTTACTTGTTCATAATATCTGTTAGGAGGCATGTTGACTGGCTGCATAGCTGCATGATCCGTGGCTCACTCAGTTTCTTGCTTATTGCTTATATACAATCATTTTTAATGTGTGACCGAATTTTATTCAATTGGCCAATCAGATCGTCGCGTTTGTTGCCTTCCACCCTTTAGTTGTATTATTGCGTAGTTCCGTGATGGTAATACGGACGTACCTCGGCAATTTTCGTCAGTTCATTTGCTGACATTATCGATGTTGTATTGATTATTAATTTTTTATGAGCTTGTATTTTGATAGTATGCGAGATTCGCTTTATTTGATTTATGTACTTTTGGGGATTTATGACTAATGGTTGTCCATTTGACTGCCTCCCGATTCCAGTTTTTGATTTTTCAACTTTGGATTCGATTTCAGTTATTTCGTTAGATGGTACTTCATCATTGTCCTTAACCACCATCATGGTTTTTATGTGGTCACGGTTGTGGTCTTTTGTATCGTTCTGTATATTTAATTGCCCTTATACTTTGCTGGTATTTTTGTTGATAACTATTGTCCTTGACGGGAAAATCCACGTCAGAGCCAACAACCCGTAACATATGACAACCAATCACAGCAAAGTATGAACGCAACACACGATTTATGAGCTTAGGGGGGACTTCCAAGCCTCCCCTTACATAAAACAAACATCGCAAGTACGGCCATGGATAGGGGAGATCATGACGAAGACAACAGTACCCTCAACATGGCCGTAATTACAATAATTAGGCTTCGTAATATTGCGAATCAATCCACTCAAGAGCAAAGAGAACCGAAACGGCTCGGTTTGCAATGAGAAATCGTTGAGAACAACAAAGAAATAATCTTCGAAGCGCAGGGAGAAATGCCTCAATTGTTGATTTGAATCTAGCAGCTTTTTTATACAATTGCACAAATGATTACAGCTCGCATCCTTTAGTTCGCGTTGGTCAAATGGACGTTGTTTGTGGGCAGTGTGCCGCATTCAAGTTTGATGGTCATCTATATAGGCATATATAAAAATGGACCCTAATCCTTTGTTATGGCATCACTTGAGAACGCATTTACCGATTTGGCTGTTTTTTTTTTTCTGTTGTGTTCATAATTGTCAGAACAAGATTTATATGAAAGAAAATTTTAGGAAAATCCACGGGAAAATTGGAAAATCTGGATGTCAAAAATACAACAGTGGAGCCATCTGCCAAGCAAGAAAATAAAATAAGGAATAATATATTTTTGTTTATTGTAAGGTTACTATTAGGCTATTGGTTCAGATCGAATACAATTTTAGACCTGTATATTATATATTATTTTGGTCAAAACCATATAGTAAGTAATAACTAGGGCTCGGAAGTTGTTGCATTTGCATGATTTTTTTGAACCATTAGATTTATTGCTAAGTAAGCTAGAAATTCATTTCAAGACACTACGAAAAACATATCAAAAGTTTTTAGTGCATATTTTTGCATATTTAGTGATTTTTAGATTTTAGAGCATATTTCTTAATTTTACAATTTTTTAAAGCAAATTTTATAATTTATGGATATTTAATATGAAAATTTGTAAATAAAAAAATAAATACATTCATATTCAGAGACCTTACTAGATATTCTTGAATCTTATTATTCAAATTTCCATTTGACATTAAAAACTATGTTTTTCCTCTATTGGTTAATATGATATTATATAAATTACAACTACAGCTAGCTTTATCTAAAATAGAATATTATACAAATCTAAAATAGAAACAGCTGCTATCGAAATACGACGATTTTCTATAAATACTTTTATAGGAAAATAACTCAATGATTATTGACTATTGTTAATGGCATTTATAGATTTTAGGTATTTCAGATATATAAATATAACTCGACAGAAGTGCATTTTTTTATTCAAGGAACATTTTTAATTTTTAAAGCGATTTTTTTATTATTTTTTTGTTTAAATTATGATTAGAAAATATAAATAATAATAAATTAATAACTTATATTACTTTGCTTTTTTTTTTTATTTACAAATTTAAAAAAAATATTTGTACAAATGAAAATGTTGTGTAAAATAATTAAATATAAGTGCATATTTTTAGAGCATATTTGTAGTTTTTTAAGCGCATAAGTGCATGCATATTTAGTACTTTTTAAGTGCATGAAGTTCCGAGCCCTAGTAATAACGTAGTAAAAATGGTATTCATAACTCTAATGTTTTTACTGTTGTCCCGCTGTCTCGGGAACCTACACATGCATATCATAAACAACGTGTCATTGTGAAAATAAAATATTTGCAATTACGTATGCTCCTCAAGGTGTCTGCAATCCACCACAGGTGGTTGGCCTACCTGAAAATATACTGCTCGCATAATAACAAGCTTGTCTCAAGGGTAAGATTTAATATATATTAAATTCAGTGTTGTAAAGTATTTGAGTAAAAGTATTTGAGTAAAAGTATTCAAATACTTTTTTCCGTATTGAATACTTTTTCAAATACTTTTATTTTTGAAGTATTTGAACGGTATTTTAAATACATTTTTTTACTATTGAATACTATTTTATTGAATACTTTTTTTATTCCTTCAACTTTTTATTCATTGTCAAATAATAATAATGTCTTAATAATATTATAATTTATATTTATCATTTATGAACAATTCTATATTGGTTTTAGTTTTCGTCTATTAATAGCTAATTAATATTAGTTACTCTGAGAAACCGTCTGTTTATCGTCGACACTCGACGACGATTGGAACGGTACGTTTCGGTACCTACTACCTACCAATATAGTATATTATCATAGCGAAATATAATACGAACATTAGGTAGGTAAGGTATGTCGTATACGTACGTATTTTTTTGTTTTGTATTTGAAAATTATTTCAAATACTTCTAAAAGACGTAAAAAATACTTTAAAAAATACTTTACAATAGATAGTATTTGGGTGGTATTTTAAATACTTTATTTTATAAGTATTTGAGTAATTACTCAAATACTTTTTAAAAGTATTTTTTACAACACTGATTAAATTGTGCTCACGGGCGAAGTGCAATGTCGGTCTGACTGGGATAACTTAAGGCTTTAATATAATATAATCGAACGTCTAACTGACTGATCAACGTAGATCCTAAATAATGATGGCTTGAGTCATGCAATTATCATGGTACCTGCATACCACCGTGTAAGTGTGCACCGAAAGGGCGAAATCCACTTGCCCACCTTTAATCTATTTTATTTCATAATAATAGATAAATCATGATTTATAAAATTGATAGATCAAAAAGCATGTGTGGGAGGTGTAGCCCACCACGGAAATATGATTATAAAAATTGAATATCGGCTATCATTTTATTAGGAATGAGGTATTTTTACTTTTTATTAACTTAACCAGTTGTGTTCATGGCACAATGCCCTCTGTAATTTTAACACACAAATTTATGAGTTTATAAATTATTATTTATTCTTATAATATGTAACCAAGAACTTGACAAGTGTTTAATAATTTATTTATTATGTCTCACATTAAAAATAATAATTTATAATAGTAATATAGTAAAACACGCCTATCTATCTGTTGTTTTTAAGTAGATAAAAATCAAAATACGATTTCTAAAGCTATTTAAGAATATTTGTGTTTTACTTGTTCAACAAACATTATTTTCATCAGATTAAAGATTGCTTATAAAATATATATTATGATATAAGATGTTCTACGGAGTTATGAGTAAAATTTTTAAAAAATAACAATTAACAGTGTAAGGAATATAATATTGTTATTATTGTTTAGAAATAGAAGTAGATGATGGTATATTATAATACAAATAAAAAATGATAAACTTAAAACTCTACACAAATATTCAAATGCTGCACATACAAAATTCAAATAATTTCTGCAAGGCAATAAATCAAAAATATTTAATAAAGGAGGTTCTGTTATTTACAAAATATGTATTCCTGGAGGAGATTCAAAAATCTTAAGTAACTTAAATATTATAAACAAAAAATTAAAAATCTCTAGGAAATAACACAAATGTTACAGGATAAAATGTATAAATGAAATAATTATATATTTTAAGACAGGTGTACCTATGATTAAAAAAAATATACAGGATCATTTTGTCTCTAATATATCTCACTTTGTTTTTTACATAGAATTAATAGAATAATTTATACTGGCTATCACTACTTATTTTCATTGAGTAAACAATAATTTAAAAAAAATTATAAAAATAATAATTAACATAAAAAATGAGAACAAATTGTTCACGAACACAGTTTTTTTTTTTTAACAAGTAGCAAATAACAATAATAAACAAAGTATGTAAAACTGAATAGATAATTATTGTATCATATTAAAATGATTAATGAATAATTGTATTATTATAAGCTATGAATAATGTTAATGATTAAAATGTAATTATACATTTAATATAGGTAATTCTTAATACAAATTAAGCTAGATTAAAATAGAATAAATCACATGCCAAAAAATTGTTTCTTAATTAAATAATAAATAAAATCTAAAATATTATAGAATGACTTGATGTATTTGTGACTATTATCTATTTTATATATATTAGAACTAATTTAAAGTATTTACCAAATTTCCCTGTTTGGATAAATTGTTCAACATTATATAAATGTTCACAAAATATAATAATAAAAAATTTAATTTATTTGTATGTATGTATAATATATAGTTAAATAATATTGGAAACTCAGTCAATAAGTATAAGTTTATTTTATTTTATTTTTAATGAGTAAAACATATTTCTACATTGTTCAAATCATATAAATGATCTGTTATGTTATTTTATTAAGGTTCTATATAAAAGAATTTTAAAAAAAACTGGCACATTTTTAAATAAGTTTTCATAATATTATATTTACTAAAACAGTAAAACCATGCAAAATAAATACATGTAAAAGCTATAGGAGAAAACACACAAGAAAAATTTGTATGTACACACGTATTGGTGGTACATTTTTTATATAACTAATCAAAATGTTAAAATTATTTTTAAATTTTTAAAATGTGATTAATGAATATGAAAAAAATGATTTATTGTAATGCTCTGTGATAAAACTCCACTGGATAAGAGTAATAATTCCTTAATTTTAAGGACAATTACTCTGTCATACTTGAGTATTATAATGTGTCTGAGGGGACGGGCTTTAATGACTCAAAAGATAATTATTTGCTTGCAGAGTACTTTGTGGGAGTACCATCTGGATTCAGTGCAGTGGTCTCATTGGCCGAAGGGGGTGGTGGCATGGCAAACGCATTAGTGTGCTGTGCTGCACCTCCCGTAGCATTGTTTGTAGAAGATGGCTGATTCACTACAACATCATCTTCGCTATCCTCCTGGATTATAAAAAAATATAAACAGATTACATATTATTATGAATATAGTTGATGAGTAATAATTATTGTTTTCAATAGTCATTAGAATTTTATTGGTGTTAATCCTAGAGTAGTATAGCTCACATATGAAAAATATCACAGGTAACTCAATGGGTGGCTGAGAGATACCTACTACCTACATACAACATTATATAAGTAATGTGATAAAATAATATTTTTAACCATACCATATAAATAATAATAAAATTAGATTAATATTTATAACATAACTAATGTTCTTATAAAGAGAGATGGGTGGTATTTTATACAAATGCAATTTGTCATAGGTATTTAAAATAAAATCAGAGCCACCAATTAGTACCTAAATGTAAAAGTTAAAACAAAAATTTGTTATTAATTTTTCTTGGTATACATACAAACTAGTAACTAGTGACTAACTTAAAAAAAAATAACTTAAAACAATTATACCCATTTATTTAATTGTTATACCTATTTCATACAAAATAGAATATTTTTAACATTGTTGATAAGCAAGCACACAATGCATTAATATATTTACTAAAGTTACCATTTGCCAATTAAAATTAAGAACTAAACAAATTATTATTTTATACAAACTATTCATATATTATGGAAAATATAGTTAGTGCCAATTTTGAAGGTTAAAATATTGTCAGATGAAATGTTAATATCGCTAAGTTATTTCATTCCAAAACTTCTTTGCCACCACATATTGCTATATATTAGAAGATTATTAGTGTAAATTATAAGAAATAAAAATATTATAATTTAAATTACTCATTATTTCTAGATGTTTTTTTTTTTTTTGTTTATTAGATGACCCGCAGCAACATAGGCCATTGGGTGGGGGTGGAATGGTGAGTTGTTGTATTGGAAAGGTTTGGTACACATGTGTGTGTTATGGCAGAATTTTTAGTGGGGCACCCGTAGATTTCTGCCATGCCACGGGTGGGGTATGACGGCACTTGTTCTCCGGACACCGTGACTTGCCCGAAGAAAAATCCCGCCCAGTGGCCGAGTATCGAACCGGCAATGGCTGCGCCGCAACCGAATCTAGATGTTTTATCTTATTGATAATGGCAGTATTTAGCATAACAGTGTAATTATTTACTTATTTTTATAATTATTTGGATAAAATTATTTTTAATTAGTATAAAAGCTAAATTAAAAAATACATAAAATAACATATTTAAATAGTATTAATTATTTTCAAACAAATTAGATGATATGTTCCCTTTAAAGGACAGCAGTTAAAATTATTATATTGTGGGTGAGCACTGCCCTAAAAATATAAATGGGTATGACATTCCAATAGAGTAGTTCATCTTTAATATTAGTATTGTAATTATTAATTATAAATTTTACATTAGTAATAAGTGGAATAAGATTTTTTTCTGTATGCACTAACAAAATGTATGAATAAAACTAAAAGTAATTTTCAGTTTATTGTGAAATATAAATGTATTGACTATGCATGATTATCAACTAAAGAATTAAAAATAATATAAAATATGTTTAAACTTATTTATTTATACATAATATACTAAATTACATAATATATAAACATATATTTATTTTGTTTTAAGTAAAAAATTACCTTTTTATGTATACCATCTATATTTGAATTCGCTCCATCATTCTACAAAATAAAACACCGAAAACAAGCAAACATTAAATGCAAAAAATGGGACCAATGACATACAAAAAATAATAAAACTACATGATATAAGTCAAATAAGAATTGATGTAAATACAAATATTTTATTACTTTAAAGTTTTAAGACATATTGCTAACATGCAACTAATTGTATGGTAATTACTAATTAACTATTTATATATATTTTAACAAAACTTTAAAAATTCTAAAATTAACAATTTATTATTTTTATTATTATTTAGCATAATATAATAATATATTATAGTTGCAGCAAATTAAAACATCTACTAGTTTATTTTTAAAATAAATTACAAATCTGTGTAACATCAGATATCAACATCTTAAATTTGTAATTATCTCATACAATATAATATTATAAAAATTAAGGAGAGCAGAGATAAAAGTAAAAATACACACAAAAATAAAATTACTACTTTGATGTATTCAATATTTTCACTATGCATTTAAGCAGGCACTACACGCACAAAATTTTGTCTGTCATACACTCGCATAACATAGCAAATCTACTTACTAGATACTTTTACCGTTTATTTATAGTTAATATTAGTGCAAATGTAAATATTATTGAATTTTTAGAGGAGAATACTATGCCTGAGCAGTTAATTTTTTTAATTTGTTATAAGTGCTTGAATAATTCATTTCTCTAAATCTATGTAACTTGTTTTAAAATAAATATATAAAAAATAACATTGATTGGGCACAGCATAATATAAAATCCTGTACAAATTAGGTAACAGGTAAATTTGCTCTCGTATTAACTATAAATAAACTATAGTAAGAATCATATATATAGATTTGCCATGTTGTGTAAAGTGTATAACAGATATAACACAAATTAATGTAACGTTCTCTTAAATATTTTTAAACGTTCGACAGTACATGTTTGGTGAGAGAGTATAAGTAATGTTTTGACGATATGGTAGAATTTATTAAAAATATTTACTGTGCACTTATTTTTGATATTTTATGCAGTATAGCTATTTTAGAAGATATTCAAGTCTCAACATACATTGTAATCATTAGTTTAGTTAGTCCCATTAAAAAAAAATGTGTTTAATTCTACGTAAATGTTCTAAGAAAAATAAACAATAGAAAGAATAGGTAATGATTTTTAATTAATTATATGGGTCTACTTGTCACGAATAGTTCTGGGGCTTTGTTTAATGTTTAAACTATAAAATAAATTATAGAAATGATAACGCAGGAGGATGAGGTATGAACATATTTAGATAACCAGTTTAATAAAACAACCACTAATAGTAATATATCTCATTACTTCCATTTAATGTTGTGTGTATCGTGATAATATACATTTTTATTCCAAGGTGTGTGTTTCTACTTTTCTTATAAAAAACTTAAACCTGTAACTTTCTATTATTAAAAATTTGATTTTCAGTTGAGTTATGTAATGATTTTATTTAATATTAAACCTACATTAGTAGGTGTATTATAATTTATGATTTTTTTATTTGTAGTTATCTATGAAAAAATAATAAAATATAGGCACATACTTATTTTTTTAAATAATAATCTATTTGTTGAAACATATAAAAATGTTTTTGTGAAAGACGAGTAGGTACAATAGAGTAGATACAAATAACCAATAAGAGTTTTTATGAATTTATATATTGCATTAAATTTTGTTTGAAATTTTTCAGGGGAAGGGGGTTTAGGTTAGGTTTGTAAAGGCCCATTTAAGGGAAAGTGGCACATTTTCTTCATGGTACACCCCATACCAAATTCCTATGCACGTCTTTGATTAATAAAAAAAAGATAAATATTTTTATACTATATTATTATATATTCAAAATATTGTTGCACAATATGTTATATACTTACTATAGTCCGCGCAACGAAAACTGGCCGGTGACTGGTGCGACTCTAGTGGCAATTTTCAATAAGTGGTTATTAAAACAAACACACCGCGTGCACCTATTGTATACCATCACAGCGGCGAAACGTAGTTTGAGAACCCGCGGCTAGCGGCACGTTCATGGCGGGCGGGTTTCGGGGGTAACCGGCCAGTTTTCGTTGCGCGGACTATAGCAACAGTACCATATTGTATCTATACTCATATTATGATTTATTCAATACTATTCAATAATAATGTGATATGATAAAATAAAATAAATTTGTTCAATGTATATGATATATTAATTGGTAAATTTTATCGTAAAACCTAATCAGTCACAGTAATACATTATTTTGTTCCCATTATTTATTTAATTATTAGCCAATCTGGTTTAATTGAAACTATAAACTATACTTTAAATTATTGAATATAATGGACTAAATTTATTGTTATATAACATGCTTAAAAGTGCCCTTAGCCAAACAAAACAAACCTGAAACCTGTGTTTTTTGTTAACATTTCCAAACTGACTGCATGCAAATAGAATCAATAAAACATTTCAATGATTATGAATACTTACATGTAAATTTGTATAATTTGCTTGTTGATCTTCAGGTACATTAGGCTTAAACTTGCCAAAACAGAAATTGCAACAACAGCAACAGCAGAAACAACAGCAACATCCAGTAATTACACAAGATCCAATTATTAAAGCCTGAAAATAATAATTGAAAATTAGTGAGATGCTTTATATCATCTGTACAAACAAAAATATAAAAAAAAAAATACAATTAAAATTTAAACAAACCTTGCACCATTTTGAGGTTACAAAGAAATAAGCATTGACATTCTCCTCGCCAAACTGCTCTGCAATATACAATCCAAGGGAACCATAATTGTCATATATATTACGTTTGCTTGGATCTGTCAATATTCTATATGCCTTATTGATCTCTTTGAACTAAAATCATAAATAAATGTACTTGTACAAATCATGAAAATAAAACATTGGTTTTAATATACTAATTCATAACATAAGTAGCAAACCTTTTCTTCCGCTTCGGGGTTACCAGTATTCTTATCTGGATGGAATTTTAATGCAAGTTTTCGATAAGTTTTCTTAATTTCTTCAGTTTCTGCTGTTTTTGCCAAACTCAGTGTAACATAGAGAGAATCTCCAGACGTTCTAAACAAAAGTAAAAACATAAATCAGTAATATTTATGTTAAGTTGTGTCTATACTCTACGTATATACAGAATATACATGTTTCAAAGTTATCAAAATAGCATCGGAATATTAGATTTACATATATTCTTTATTAATATAACCACAATTTTTTTTTTCCATTTTAGACGCTGTGCAATAAATGTATTGATTTTACGATGATGTGTTTTATTATTTTTGTGACTATCATCATCTATTAGGGTAGTAAAAATGCCTAACTTAGAAATTGGTTTAAGGTAGAAAATTGGATATGGTTGGTACTTTAGGGGTTAAAAGTAAAAAATGCCAAGTATTTTTTTTAAAATAACAGGCAAAAACTAAAAAAAACATTAAGGAAAAATGGTAATTTTTAAGCAAAATCAGTTTTTAACAAAATATTTTATTTTGCATTCCCCAAAAACGAATAACCGTAAATATTTTGACTATTTTTGAAGTATTTATAGATATTAGTTAGGTATAGTTTTTTGTTTTACACGTTAATAAAAAAATTTTCAAACACCTTGAAAATTTATTACAGGTATCAATTAAAAAATATCAAATTATTGCTGATAATATATTTACAACATAAATGATAATTGATTACCAAATATAATATAACTACCAAAATAAATATTATTCAAGCACAATATAAGTATTTTTGGATCAATCCCCAGTGATTTATAATAGCATAAAATATATTGTAAGTAAAAATGTATGTGCTTTTAAAAAGCTTGTATCTGTGGGGAGGTGCCCCCTCAGCAACCCCTTAATCGAGCCTCGTAACTAACAAATATATTTCAAAAAATTAATAGGTCTGTATTGGAAGGGGTTAAACATATTATCTTTGTTCGGTGTGAACGTTAACATCAGTCATCACATTATTTAATAATCATTTTACAAGAGATGAATTTAATATAACACATCCTGTCTCATGAACTAAAGCTAATATTCATTTGAATGAATATAAACCACAAAGTTAAAAGGAATTAAATGTTCAAAAAAAATTTAAAAATGAGCTTAAAAATATGTTTTTATATCTTATTTTCCAATGTATTACTTATAACAGCAGCAGATAGAAAAAATATTTTAAATACATTTTTTGATGCTTTATTGAGTGACAACAGCCACGAGAATCGATACAAAACATTGCTGCAAACAGGAATACATGATTTTTCAGTTGGATTGTTTGAGGGATCAGGTGGCCGTATTAATAAAATATCAAACATCCAACGAACTGGTAATGTCATTGTGCACCCCGGAAAAGATGAAACATGGATAGAAATGTCTTTCATTGTGCAACATCTAGATGTGATTTGGGACAATTCAACTTGTTTTGGAATTAAATGCCAGCTTTGGGCTACTATGTTGGAAAATAAATTTGATGTGAAAATGGCTGTAAGACCGATCAACTGCCTGGTGTCATACAATATTAATTTAAATACCGTCGGAACAATGGAAGTGAGTGTGTCAGAACTACCTAAATATATGCCAAGTTTTTTATTTAATGGAGCATTATACATAGTAGAAGTGTTTTTTAAAGGTCCACTAATGGAAAGTGTCAAACATCGTATAAACCATAGTGTTATACATGATTTTATAGATAAAAATCAAATAGACCAAATATGTATAGCTGTCAATGAAACAATTTACACCACAATATTCTAAATTGTATGCAATCAAATCAAAAATATTTTTTTTTTAACTACCATTTTATTTTATTCAATAAATTGATATGTCAAAACATACAATTATGACAACACTAGCAAAATTTTTATTTATTACTTCAGTAGATACTAACATTAAGATTAGAATTAAATAATCAAGTTATATTTATTAGATGTATGTAGTGTAATAAGCTATATTTTACTCTTTATTTGTCAATTATTTTTTAATAATTCTTAAAACTAATTGCTTTTCTGTTGTAAAGTTTATCAGTAAAGATAAAACTAGACCAAATTATTTATGATTAATATTGATTTTATTTGAAATATTACTAAAATAAAGCATAAAAACAAAAACTGTTATTTAATATATAGGTACTGAAAACCATATTGTAATATTGATACCTACTATTTTGCTTATATAATATATTATTATGTATAGTTAACTTGGTACTACTTTTTAGTATTTACGGTCATCAGAGATGGGAAAATAAAATGACACTGTAACCAGAGTTTAGTAATGGTTATCCGATTACTACCATGTAGGTTATTGTTACATCATTGACTTGCACCAACCTATCTATTAAAATGTGTACTAAAATCAATAAAATACCTACTACTTGTGTAAGTAACAAACATGGACAATAGCTGAACTTTTTTTTATTTGGGATGTTGGTTAAATGAATAATACCGGTACCTATAATATAACCTCAAATATACCGTTATATTTAAGGTATATTTTAAGTTTTACCTATTACCATTGATTAAATATACGTACAATGCTATTTCATTAAGATATTTTACAAATATATACAAATGCTCAACTATATTATCAAAATGTTGGTTCTCGTCGCCAACCACCAAATTATGTGTAACTGTTTACAAGACGTGAAACATGAGTGAAACACGTTTCGTTTGAATTTATTATTTTATTTATAATAATATAATATGGTAACCATATGTAGATAAATTATACTATGTAGCTGGACTCACACTACATAGTGCCATTTGAAGTTGAATATATTCAACTCGTTAGCTAATACATAACTTAGATTTTAACCTAAATTTTAAATAGGTACATGACACACGACAATGATACAGCGAACCAGGATTAGTGTTACATAAACAAAAGTCTCAAAGGTTAATAATAATATAGTTTTAGGTAAATATAAATAAGTACCTAGGGTAATAGGGCAATCAGAAGATTGGTGATTGCGTGCAACAGACTTTGTATTGGTTAGTGGGTACATTATTGGCGGGGAAGGGGTGGGAGGGGGTTTGCAATTCTCCTTCTGCAAAAACACTACGGGGATGTACCTCGCTGTTTCCCTCCGTTTTAACACACATTTAACGCGCTAACTGATCACCATCAGCTGAACAGGTTCATGGACCTGGGTAGAATAAAAACTCAAACAACCATACGCTAATGGCCATTTTCATAACACGTATCCGTCGACAACGGGCAGCTGTAGGTCGAAACGCATTGTCGTGTGCCATGGTTTTCGCAAAATCAATACTAAGCTGCGGCGGCGGCGGCCGTTTATCGTAAAATTTATCTAGTGGGCTATGCGCCATATACACCCGGCAAATATAATATCGTAGGTACGCTGTTCGCGGTATTATTTTACAATTATTATTTAAATATACTCACGACAACTTCCTCTTGTCCATTTCGACGGTGGCGGATGAATGGTAATGAAAAAATGAAAACTTCGAAACGCCTTATCAATACGTTCGTGGACCCGTAAGCGGTAAAAGCCAGATGGACGAGGATACTGTCGCAAACGTTGTTGTCGAATTTTCCGGTATCACGTACGACAGTCCATAGTGAGGTTTCGGGCGTGTGCGCGCGCGCGAGTAGTAGATGACAATACAACTGTTAGAAGGATTAAAGACGGCAAACGCCGACGAGATGCTTTGCCGTGGCGAAAGTAAAGACGACGTTGAGACAATAATTACGAATATTAATTACTAGCGATACTGACACGACAAAGTAACTGATGTATCATATTACTATTATTTATTGAACGTAGGAATACTTAATAAAATATGATGTGTTTTTACTACTATATTTATTAATATAATAAATATCATTACAGTACTATAATAATTTATAATATTATACCTACCTATAGGTATAATATACTTTATCTACTGGAATTGATCGCGACGTTGGGCGATGGCGGCCGGCGGGTGGTAGCGTTTTCCTAAAGTTGCGCAAGCGCGCCAAAACAGTGTGACCGACATCCTCGATTCGACCTGATATCTGCTACACACACTGCACGCACTGATATATAATAATTTTAAATAGATCATGGGTGAGCCGATCGGCGAACCGTCGCATATTTAGCTGGTGGTTTATATTTACCATAGACCATGATAAATGTAATTTAATTTGTATTAATTTGTATATTATTTATATATTACAATTAATTTCATGTACTAACGTCATAACTCCTAGAACAAGACTGCTACAACTCAAAATTTATAGTTTTGAGAAAAATCAATTTGAAGTTTGGACCTTAGATATTTTAATGAGTTTTTTACTTATGCGTTTGAAATTTAACACTTAAATACTTACAATCATTCTTTATAATATTAATTTTTCAAATATTTTGAAATTCACTCTTAAACCCAAAAATTTAGACTTGTGGCCATTTATAATTTTTTAAGTAAATGCAAGACTGCCATATTTTGAGATGTGACTGTATTTCATACAGAAGTTGTGGCTGCAGTATCACAAATTATAAAATGCAATACTGCCACAACTCTAAATATTGCTGTTTTGCACTCAACATATTACACGATAATTAGTTTTTATTCAGTGCAAGAACGCCACAAGTCGAAATAAGGTAGTCTTGAATTTTGACTTCAGTGATAATTTGGATAAATAAAAATAAGTATACTGCCATAAAGTAAATATGGCCCTCTTGCATTGAAAATTAACTAACATTTAAATAATTCCATACTGACACATCTCTATAGTGGCTAAATGAAAAATGATATTGAATGTGGCGCTCTTGCATTTTATAGAGCTTATTTTTCTCTATTCAACAGTAGTCATAACTCAAAATTGATGAATTTTGAGTTGTGGCTGTCTTGTTCTAGGAGTGCGAATTATACCTTATACTCATAGACGGAGCATGGACGGTGGTATCATGATAATAATAAATTTATAATGGGTATTAGTTCCCGCCAGTAGAGTATCTTGGATTTTTTCAAGGGGAGGATAATATACAATTTTAAATAGACATTCAGTATACACATATAACAGATTATATTTTATATTATTATATACATGTTATATTATGACCCCCCCATTCCACCCTTAGATACGTACGCCACTGATTCAAAGTGTGTTCTTCCACAGTTCTGCTCAGTGGCACATTTAGGAGGGCGAAGGGGGCGAATTTTTAACAGTGTTAGGGGCGGCAATTTTGTTGAGTGTATTATTATATTTTTTTTTAACACAAAATGTGTAATATTGATTAACAATATTATGTAATATTATATAACATTTTTTATTGTATAACATTGTATAACATTTTTTGATTAATCAATGATTTTGTGATAACGGATTATCGTATTCATGAAGATTAGAGATACCTCTTGTCTTCATCATGGTATCCCACATGGTCGTATCCACTCCACGGTAAGCTCACCAAAAACTATTCCCAGGACGGGCTTTATTACAGGCAGTGGCGTATTTACGGGGGGGGTCCCCGGGTCTGGACCCCCCCCAGAAAAAAATATAATATAATATAATTATTACATCGTAACTCGTATATGTTTTTTTTATATTATAAACTTGTAGGTACCTAATATTTAGACCCCCCCCAGAAAAAATTTCAAAATACGCCACTGATTACAGGGCCTGTAAATTATCCGCGCAGACTTCTATTATCTACCTAGGTATTATAGTGGGTGTATAAAACATACCTACTTGATATTATATTCTGTATCTGTGGTAGCCAGGGTGCGATGCCCCACCAAATCCCCCCTCCAAAAAAAAAGAACATGTGATTAGTTAGGTACTTATTGGCTATTATGCAATTTATTTAATTTAATAAAATATACGTTTTTATATTACATAATAATATTTTATTTATGTAAATGTGTGAATATTGCTACTTCTATACTATGTATTTATGTAAATAGTGAACCTGTATTCATAATTATTCACACCAACTGCGTCTGTAGGTACATAATAATATAGTATTATATAAATTTATATACAATAAAAAATAATGACTACGCATATAATATATTATAATATATATATATATATATATATATATAAGTCCAATGTCTAAAACAGTAAGTAATAACTAATAAGTATATAGACAAATATTTTAAAGCTTAAAAGATAAAAAAATAAAAGAACGATTCCAATTCTTAATATTTTACAGGTTCCAGTTCCTGCAGAACCTGAATAAAACACGTCTATAAACATGGGTTGCGTGTGTGTTAGACAGAGCCAGAAAATGACCGACTGGAACCGGCAACCGCCATAATGACTATATATATTTGAACTATAGATTAGTGAGATTCTGAATCCGTAAAAACTAAAAGCTGTACAATAAATGTCCTTGTACAATATGACGATAATATGGACATATGGTTATTGGTTACAAATTTTATAGTACCTACCTATAAATGTATAATTGGGAAACAATTTTGTAATCGCAGCTGTGAAAATATTTATATTATAAGATATATATATATACAGGGTGTCCCGTGAGGATTTACTCATTAGCTGTAGAGAGGGACTCGCCGCCCGGACAAAAACCAGTTTATTGACGTTTTACTAATAAACTAAAAAAATTATTAAAAATCATGAGATTAATGAAAATAAAATGTTAAAAGCTCAAAATGTTCACAAAAATATACTCTATAGAATGGCTATCTTCAATTTTTTCAAAAATAAAAAAATAATTTTTTTAACTTTTTTACTAAAAAATTTAATTTAATTAAAAAATAAAATATTTGTAGTGCTTACCTCTGCGAGTCTTAATAAAAAAACATAATTACGATATCTCCATTATTTCAGGAGATATCGCAATGAGTAAATCCTCACGGGACACCCTGTGTATATTAAATTTATATATTATATACAATGCATTAAGTATTTATATTTTTTACCTTTATACCTATTTAGGTACCAAGTATTATAGAAAACAGCTAAACGTGCCTATACTGTTATAGTGTTATCTATTGTCTGTAATGCTTAATATACTTTTATAGGTGGGTAATACACTAATACCATTGATTAAATATACATATAGGTATACGTATATTTAATCAATGCTAATACAGTAATACTCTAATACCTATACGGCATAACGACTATACTAATATAATATATAATATGTTACATATAAATAGGTATATAATATATATTACATATTACATAATAATTATATTAAATAGGTATTACATATTTTAATATTTTTTTAATAATAATCACACTAGCTACTATAGTTTATAGGTATTCATTATGTTTAAATAATAAAATAATTTGTTTGTCTACAGAAGCGATACAATAAAATAAGTTATTGAGTAAATGTGGGCTATTATTAGTCTTATTAGTATAACATAAATACTAATATATTGAATATTTTATACTATTGATAATATTATATTATACCAACTGAATAACCCAGGTTCACCCGTGTGCAGTTTTTTGTGTTAAAACTTGTTTTTAACAATTTTTATATTACCAGTAGTGATTGCCTTTAGAAAGTTTAGTTCATTACCATTATTAATATTAGTTTTATTATTATTTATTTGATCACCTTGTTTTATTACAAACTACTGAGTACCTACTTACTTTCTAAACTTTTCTGACGTCTCTAAAAACGATGTCTGAGAATTTCAGATCGATCAAGTAGTTTTTTTAGTAAATACCTATACAGGGTTTCCCGTGAGGTATACCCTTACCAGGTACCCATTACCATCATGGCATCATACCATCTACCCCATGTGTTTTGGGTAGAGTAACCGGAGTCATATGCACAAATGGTAATACAAATTAAAAGTACAGTAAGTTGAATCTCAATTCCACAAATATTATACTGAAATTAAATGATATTATATTATAAATGAGTTAATATTTTTAAAATTAATCGTTATCCTGTTTATGAATCTTAACATCTTAAATGATTTTTTAACTAAAGTATTAATATGTAATATATTACAATTATCAATTTTATTATATATAGGTATTAAAGTCATAACTCATAACTAATAACATTATCTAGACGAAAAAAAAGTAATAACACCGCAATTATTTATATTTAATTGGAGGTAATTTCGACGACTGTATAACATATTTGTCTAGATTTTACTGTAAAATTAAAGTATCATTTAATAATCAATCATATTATATACCTCACCCCAAAAAACATTTTTATATACGCCACTGGAGTAAATTGACTTCCCCTAAAATTTAAAGTTAAGATTATTATTTAGGCAATATCAAAGGCTTTATATTATATTTCAATTTTAAATCGAGTTATGAGTAGGTATATTTTATGATGTACAATTATATATAAGTATTTGCTTTTGGGGATTTTGGATTTTATTTCCGGGGATTTTTTTTCCTATTACCATATTTTTATGTTTCTGTTAGTGATTTAAAAAATCTTAATAAATTCTTAACTTTCAACTAA